TGGTTCGGCAACAACCGGCCTACTCCACTCCCCAAGCGCCTCTTGGGTATTCGATTAAGAAACTTTGACTCTTTCCACGGTAGGAGTCAAACCGGTATAAACCTTCTTTTTCCGGGAGCAAGAAGAAACTCGATCCTTTCCACGGTTCAGGATCAAACCGTTACAAATGCTCTTTTTAGGGCTTAAGAGCAACCCTTACAAAGGATATGAAATTTGAGAACGAACTTACAAACTCTCTCAAAGAGTGGGTATACAAATATTTGCTCACAAATTTGTAAGAAAAAATTCTTACAAATAAAAGCCCTCAAATTGGCTAAAAGAAATAAAATTGAAAGCTCAAATATCTCTCAAATAAAAAATCTCCCTCAAGAATATAGAACAAAAATTAAAGCTTTGAAGAGAGATTAACAATGTAGAAAATTGGAAGAGAATGAGTTGTATAAAATGTTGAAGGAAGTGAGGTTTAAATAGGTGAGGAAAAGTTGAAAATAAATTTAAAATCGAAATTGAATTTGGACCATTAGATCTTTCATGATTGAAAATCAAAGGTTGAGATTTAATTGAATAAAATAATAAAATAATAATAAAATATTATATATGGATGTGTCAAACGGATATATATATATATATAATATAATATAATATAATATATATATATTTTTTAAAACAAATATGCATTTAATGTGATGTGACATATATATATATTTTTACTTTTTATTATTATTTTTTTCTTTCTTTTAAGTTACCCTCAATGGTAACTTTGTTTTTTTTTCTTTTCTTTTTTTTCAAACATCATGCCACATGTCAACATTTTGTTGGACCACTTAGTTGATTCAACTGCCACGTCATCTATCTCGGGTAATTTTTCTTCCAACTTCTTTCGATCATAATTTCTTCGTTTGAGCTCCGATTTGGATAATTCAAAATTCGTTGGAATCATCTTATCGAGCTTTGCGCTGTGGACACTTTAAAACACTAAAATTATCAATAAACAAAATATGTATTATCACTAAATCATATAATATTATTGAAACTCAAAATAAATTTATGTTCTATAATAATAATTGTTACACACCAAAAACAATTAATACTAAGTGTGTTTGTTATCATCAAAATATTAATTAATTAAATTAATTAACCGAGATTAAGGGCCAAAAAGCCAACAACCATTTGTTCATCTTTGACATCCTGAACGAGGTTAGTCTTTGAGTTGTTTATAATATTGTTTTCGATTCTTTCAGAATTTGATGTATATAGTTGTAGTTCGAAGTGAATGTAATGTCTGATCTTTTCTGGGTATATTTGTTGGTTAATAGTTCACTAAAAGAAAAGAAAAAGTTTAGAAGTCAATGAAACACGATGGTGAACTTTCGTCACACGACCGTGGTTAATGTTTGTTTGATTCACGGCAGTGGTTGAAGGTGATATTGGCCGTGGTTGTTTACAGATACACTTTAATTGGTCGTGTTTCTTAATTATTTGATTCATGACCGTGGTAATTAGTTCCTTCGGCCGTGGTTGTATACGGATACAATTTCTTTGTCCCACGACCGTGGTCAGCTGTTGGGTAATTGTCTGCTGTGGTTGTGGGTTCTCATGGCCGTGGTCATTTGTTAGGTAATTTTTGGCCGTGGTTATGGGTTCTCACGGCCGTTGTTGTATATTTATATATTCACGGGCTTGTTTTTAACTATCATGGTCGTGGTGTGCAACATTGATTACTAATTACATGTGTGTTGTTATTATTATGTATGCTGAATGCATCGACTATTCGTGATCTACGGTGGCGAGTGGAACGAGGCTGGTACAATGTATGAAGGTGGCGTTATGGGTGGGCTAAATATTGATGAAGCAATAACATATGTCGACCTAGTAAGTGCATTGCACATGCTTACTAGAATTGATCTTGACCGATCTAATTTTGTTATACAGTGTGTATATAGATCTTATTTTCAATTCGAAGTCCCGAGCTATCTGATATTTGATGATGCCAGTTTGAGATTCTATTTGAATGACCCTCCCCATCCATCACAAGTACCCTTGTACATAACCGTCGAACCTAAAGCATCATATAGTAGTGGGAGCAACAGAGGAAATATTTTCTTGGAAACCCATATATCGTCTTCATTCCCATACTACCCAGGCCAGAATGATCCATGTTTCGGCCCTTCTGTGTCTATGCACTCTCCCTTAGAGGGTGTATATCCCCCTCATTCGTCCCACCGATTACACCGTTGATCGATAATGTTGTCCCATGTAATCTAGAAGACGATGAATCTGCATATTATGGTAATTGTACGAGAACAATGTTGAGTATGTGGATCAGAGCAACGTTGAGAATGATTATGATGAATATCATACTGAGGAAGGTGGGAATGGGTATGACAATATGTACGAGGATCTCGTTGAAGACCATTATGAGAATGGAGGTCAACTAGTCCATGAGGTGCATACAATGAGTGGCAATGCACCTACACAGACAGTTGAAGGACTAGTTTCACATCCGATGCAGAATATCATATCTGGCGATGAGGTGGACTATGTAGGTGACATTGCTGTTAAGGGTATTTTCCGTTCTAAGGGTGAACTATGCTTCAAGTTGTCTATGTTAGCTATGAAGCTTAATTTTGAACGTCCGATGCAGCATATCATATCTGGCAATGAGGTGGACTATGTAGGTGACATTGCTATTAAGGGTATTTTCCGTTCTAAGGATGAACTACGCTTCAAGTTGTTTGTGTTAGCTATGAAGCTTAATTTTGAATATAAAGTAAAAAAATCGACGAAGATATTGTACAACGTTGGATCTATTGAAGAAGGTTGCAAATGAGGTTTGCGTGTGAAGTCTATTCGAGGTGGTGACTTATTCATCATCTCGAAGTTCACTGATGTTCACAAGTGCAAACGTGAGGTACTGAACCATGACCACAGGCAAGCTCGAAGTTATGTGGTTGGTCAGTTATTGAAGTCCAACCTCGAGGATGTCAGCCGTCAGTACAGACCCAAGGACATTATTAACGACATGTGGAAGGATTATGATGTGAACATTAGATATGGAAAGGCATGGCGGGCTAGAAATGTTGCGTTGAGTCTGCTGGTGAGATCACCTAAAGATTCATATACTCTGTTACGCAAGTATGGTCAAACATTAAAGGCTGTTAACTCAGGCACCGTTTTTGAAATGGAACTGGAGGAAGATAAGTATTTTAAGTATGCGTTCATGGCCCTCGGTTGCTGTATTAGAGGATTCTATAGTTGTATCCGCCCAGTGCTCGTGATAGATGGTGCACATGTCAAGGGTAAGTATAGGGGTGTTATTCTTATTGCTTCTTCAGTTGATGACAACAATCAAATCTATCCTCTAGCATTTGGAATTGTCGACCAAGAGAATGATCAATCGTGGACGTGGTTTCTTAATATGGTCAAGCATTGTATTAGAGAGGTTGATGGGCTATTTTTCGTATTAGATCGACATGTCTCCATTACGAAATCTATTAGACGGGTCTTTCCTCAAGCATCTTACGGAATATGCCTGCACCACTTGTCCAGGAACCTTAAGGACAAGTTCAAGGACGATGCCATTCAAGAAATGTTCATATTAGCAGCAAAGTCATGCCGGAAGTCAGAGTTTAGGTACTACTTTTCCCAACTAGCCGAATTTCCAAAGGTTCAGCGGTACTTGGAAGGAATCTGTTTTGAAAACTGGACTCGTTCCTTTCAACCGGGTTTGAGGTATGACCAAATGACATCTAATATTGCAGAGTCTATAAATGCAGTCCTCGTCCATGCACGTTCATTGCCAGTCATTGCACTACTTGAATATACAAGAGAACTCTTACAACACTGGTTTTACGAGAGAAGAACATATGCATCCAGTCGCGAAACTATTTTTATTGTCTACGATGAGACTAAAATGCGTACTGCGGAGAACCTCTCTCGTACTCACTCCATAACACCAATTGATCACCACGAGTTAGAGGTGAGCGCTGGACTAAGAAGGGTGCAGGTGAATTGAAGTTCAAAGACATGTGCATGTAAAGAGTTTGACTACTTCCAACTTCCTTGCTCGCACGCCATTGCAGCGGCAACCTATCGGAACGTGAACAGGTACACACTATGCTCATCTGCATATAGTCTCGAATCTTTTATTAATGCATATGCTGAACCTGTTTACCCTCTCGATGATGAAGTGGATTGGATTTTACCTGATGATTGCGTTGAATTTAAATTAGAGCCGCCCTATGTTAATCGTGTTGGGCGACGTCAAACTGTACGGATTCCATCTACTGGGGAGACACTCCAAGTCCGCAAATGCAGTCGGTGTGGCAACATAGGTCATAATAGAAAAACATGTCGTCAACCAGTTTGAAATACGGATGGGGCCACGTAAAACATTAACTGATATATTTTTCATTTTACTCTTCTAAACGTTGTACTCTTATTCTTGAGTAACATTATTTTGGATAACGTTGTACTACTATTCCGTGTTCTAATGTTCGACGGAACTAGATGATTTATTTTTTATTACTCAGCATACTAACACAGTCGAAATATATCTAAATAGCCCGGCAAAACTAATGTTCTGGACTAATTCACGACTGAGGATTGTCGATCACGGCCGTGGTTAAGCTATGGAAAATGACCACCACGATCCATAATTCCAACCACCATGGCCACGAACTCTGCCTCTATTTCTCAGTCACGACCTCTATTTCTAAACACGACAGCCGTGAATTTTATCAAACCCGACCTATAAATAAACACCACGATCATGATTTTAAGCAAACACGACCTCCATATATGAACACCACGGCCGTGAATTTTATTACATCACGGCCATGAATTATGAATAATTAGGTCGTGGTTCCTGTAATATTACATCAACCTCAAATTCAAGTTATTTCTTTCATCAACTTATCCTGTATATGAAAGACGAACCCACATTTGACTATATACGATTCGAAAAAAAGTTCAATCATCACAATAACAACGTTCATAAATGTCACAATCACCATCCATCCATTACAAATGTATTACAAACATTCATACGATTCGAAAACTATTACAAATGTATGGTTTACATAATAGACTTGTTCGCCCAAAGCTGAACGGCAAATTGCCGTCTAAAAAATGACATCCTAGACTGCGTTAATGTATCAAAGCTACATGAAGTCACATCATATTCAAAAAAATTTATACAAAATATACCACAATCACCATCCATCCCTTGTTGGGGTGCTGATGAGACTCTACGGATGCGCCATGGTGTGAGTGGTATGTTCGGTTTATATAAATGAACCCCGACCCTGCAAATAAGTGTCGGGATAATAGTGATCATTGGCTTCAACTCCTGTTCCAACTGCGGTAATGGTGTCATGTTCATGAAGGAGTCCCACACGATGAGCTCACCCTCATCGAAGTCGATACAAATCACTATCCAGTGCACTCCACCGATGTTGTACGGTAGATATACTGCATCGACATCCATCCACCGCGTATCATTGTCAGAGTGAGTACCATCGATGTAGCTTAGCATAGACCATGCTCTTCCCTCCCAATCATAGTCCGATGCAACCCGCGAAGCAATGACGTTAGGTGATTGCATCATGACATAGACACCGTCGGTGCTTCTGAGGAAGTTCTGTAACAAGTACGACTATTAATTAAAATGTGGGTAAATAGACATTGATGAATGACCAAATAATAAAACTTACTGAAATCAATACGTCACCAGTGGTGAACTTGCGACGACATAAGTTCGGTCGCAATTTGAGCTTATTACACACGAACATGACCAATGAATCAACTACCTGTGAAACCAGTCACATATTTAGGTTCGGTCGGACATTAATATAGCAAATTTAAGCTACGGAAAATGGTCGTACCTCACACGAACACCATTTTTGTGGTGTTAGAATATCCCGGAACCATTGCTTTTCTCGATTTGCGTAGCACGTTTTCCAGTCAATTTAGGTTTACTGTCGTCATCTAGCCACTTCTGAAATTTGGAGTCTTGTTTATTCGGGATATTAGCAACCAAATTGTAAACTATGACCTTCTTTCATTTCCCTCCAACCTTAACTTCGAAGCACCCTTTAAGCTTCCATGGGGTTTTTTTTCTTCCGTTCCTCCCTACGAGGTGGAGGGTGATTATGTGGCTAGGATAGAATGCGCACGTCCCTTGGGGTTGTGACTGGACATCGAGGACATCTGATTCCGTGTCCGAAAAGTCATCAAAGACTTGGTCCTGAAAAACATTGTGTGTGGTACGTGAAACCCTAGTTAGTGAGGGAAGTATATCAAAACACTAAAATTCGTACTTACCTCGCGTGTCTGTGGAACTGGTACCTCTTTAAGATGTTCGGTATCTTGTTGTGCCCCACCGGCCGATACCATAACGTCCACATTTGACTACTTCCTGTCAACAGGTTCCGGGTCTTTCAAAGTCCCACCGACGTCTCCAGACACATCCGCAGCCTCTAATGCATTCAACTCTTCCCCAATCTCACCTCCCTGGTTTGTAGTCTCCATATCCATCGCGTAGGTAGGGTCCGTTTCCATCGCGTCGGTACTTTCACCACCGCGCTGGTCATCCTTATCATTTGTCGGACCACCGCTACCATCTCCCGATCCTGCAGTATCACCATCACCAGTGCCACCTTCATCCCCACTAGTGTTCTCTCGAAGAACAGAAGTTTCCACTGGTAGACCCTATATGCAGCAAACATGATGTAAGAGCAAATGTAATTGAGATATATATAACATTAATGGAGTACGCACCTTAACTAGATGACGTAGGAACTTCCGAATGCTTTTTAGATCACCCTCCATGCTAGCAACACGATCGTCAATAGAGGTGACTACCTGTTCCACATTGGCAAGCCGCGTATCTATAGCAGCCACCTACTCAGTTAGGATCCTCAAGCCATTCTTACATTTGCACCGATGCTTCTTGCCACTCTTGGTCTTCACTGTACCTCGTACATCAGGATTGACATGGCTGGCATCAGGCTGCATGTTACGACCTTCCACCACAGGGACCACTTCCTCCATTCCATGTTCATCGTCTACAAAATCATCACTCGATGGTGGCTCGAATTTCCTTGCCATGAACCTCTCCTCCGCTTTCATTGCGAACAGTCTGACGACCATTTTAGCCTGCACATCGGTATACTAATGAGGGCACGTTATGTGAAAAGAAATACTGAGGTCACGTTATATGTTTGAGTCCGAATCTTACCGAGGTCGACTGGAATATCTCCTTCTCCAGGACAACCCACGCAGGTGAATGTCTGCACTTCCACTTCAGTATGTGTGGGACAGCATCCGATTTTATAGGGTGAGCAACCCGCCCAGTCAAACAAGATATAGTTTCATATCCCCACACCTGTGTAGCAACATCAAATTGGGACAACGTTACATAGAATGAAAAAAATATAATATAATGTATAACTAAAATAATAAGAACAAATACCTAGAAGGCCCAGGGGAAACTGTACAGACTATACGTCTTCCTCAATCCCCCATCTTTCGCCTTCATATTCAGTACGCGCTTTAAACTTCTTATAATCTTCTCAAAAGACATCTCACCCCAGTCATAATTGCAACATACCTCTAGGTCATCCACGACTCCTAAGAGGCTATTGTCCAGCTTCAGAGTCCTCTCCCTCCAAAACAAGACAAGATCCACAAATAATAACATTGATATCTTCACTGCATCAAGGTCGTCCTCAAATCGTATCACCATGTACTTCGTCTCGAACTCACTTAGTAAAATGTCAACTTTGTCATCGAAGTACAACTTCGTAAGCCTTTTGGGAGAAGTGTCTCTACGAATCGGTCGCCTACTATATTTTAGTCCCATAATCAGATTAAATTCGCTCAATCCAAAGGATACCCTATTACCAAGGACGTCCATAGTAATTACGTCGGTCTACTATTATCCAACTCCCTAAGCAACAGGTTGTGTATAAGTGGCCCGTTAAGTACGAGCTCTACGTCTAGGAAATGGCCGAAAATGGTATTCCTAGACATACTAAGTTGTCTATTGGTTAGTTTACTTTTAATAGCTTTTACCGTGCTCCCTATGTGGGATTGGCAGGTCAAACTGGCTGAACGATAGCTAGAGGGAGGAATCTTAGGTACCAGTTCCATTTTATAAACCTGAAATACATTAACAATATGTACACATCTTAGTATTCAGCAAATCAAAAGAACAGAAACCAAACAATAGAAGGAACATATGAAAACATGAAAAGAAGAGTAACAAAACCATGTGAAACCATGATTTTGTCAAAATTCTCGGTCAAACCACGACCTAAATCGTGACTGAAAATTATGGCAGAATCTAATTCCCCTGCCAACGTGAATGGGATTTTTAATTTTGTCGAAATTCTTGGTCACGATTTCGGTCGTCGTAAGACCGAGGTTATGCATTTTCGAAAATGATGATTGAACCACGATCGTGAACGTGACTGTGAATTTGGACAGAACACTATGGTTCATTCCCCCGTTGTGAGTGCAACAATGAATTTTCGACGAACCATTAGTGTTCTGTCCAAATTCACTGTCACATTCATGGTCGTGGTTTAATCATAATTTTTGAAAACACATAACCTTGTTCTTCCTCGGCCAAAAACCCACAAAACCCACACAAAAACCTAATCAACAACCCACAAAAATCATACACTACAACGCAACCCCACAATTTCAACCATTTATGCAGCAGAAAACACAAACCCTAAACCCTAACCAACCAACAGCAGACAAAGGCGAAGATAGCAAAATCAAATATTGGGAAAATACAGAGACGACAATAGCATAAGGTAAATATGCCGATTTCGAGCCCTACGAGTGCATGAACTAAGAAAAATACTAAATAGGAGGCCATAAAAGCAATGCAAGGACGAATAAACGAAAATCACGCAACAATCAGTAGAAAAAATATCTTTCTCTAGCCATAAAATCGACGCAAATACAAAATAAAATGTACTAATCTCAAAATTTCATATATGACTTGCGATTCAGAGCAAAAAATTGGAAGAAATCAGTGGAGAGGAAGATGGAACAGAAGATTAAATCGGATGGGCCAAAACGAAACAGAAATCGTAAGAAAAGAAAGGAAGATGGATTGGGAGGATATCAATGGTTGAAATTTAAACATAGGGGTATAATCGTCATTAAATTCAAGGCCATGGTTCTCTTGTTTACGATCGTGGTACAACTAACATTTACCACGGTTAAACCACGCCCATGAGAGAAATTTCATTAACACGACGGCCGTGTTGATTCGATCACGCCCGTGGTTATTGATTCTTTTGCGAAATCTAATTTGCTTTCCATATTGAGGCTAAAATAGTAAATTAATGCTTCAATATTATATTCCAAATAATAAATTGGGTCAGATGAAATTTTTTTTCTAATTGAGGTCAGTTGGGCAAAGTGAAAGCTTTTAAGGGTCAAATCTGTCGATTTCCCCTTAGTTGGGTTGGCCAAGTTATCAGTGAAGAAGCTTTCCTTAAGGAGTCATTGAGTGCGATCAAAGAAAGAGGCTTTAGGGACCACTTAGTACGAGTGAGATCATGTGGCTGGGTCTCTTACGTCTGGAAGACAAGGCGACGCATGATTGTTTAGTTTCATGGTAATCACAGATGAAACTTTCGTTGGTGTGAAGAAGATGTTTGAAGTTGTCGGTGCAATGGGAATTAAGCCTTGGTTGGTGTCAAGAAGAAGTTAATCAGTTAGAAACTGTTGATGTAGTCAGAACTGAGTAATGAGGGACACTATTGTTGTAGTGGGAGGTTGATTGTCATTTTTTCTCCAAGTGAGAGATTGTTGGGATATGGAGATAAATGGGCTGACCCTAGATGTTACCATAAGGTGGTTCGTGTAGCAAGTGCTCTATCTGGACGTGCTGAATAGAAGCAAGCTCTCGTTGTCTTTGTCATGAGTAGATGAATTGCATGGCTATTTAAGGCAAGATACGAGTGACACTTTGTTTTAGGGGAGGCTTGTTGGGGTTGCAAGGTATGCAAACAAAGTCTCACATTGGCAAGAGAATGAGGTGATCCATGGTACATAAGATATGACAATTATCTCTATTGATATAAGGTCTTTCGAGTGAAACCAAAACTAAAGTCGCGAGGGTTATGTCCAAAGCGGACAATATCATACCATTGTAGGGGATACATGGTACCGTAGTCCTTAACAATTTTTGTATATTTTATTGGATTTCATGAGTTAAGTTTTAATTTTTCTTGAACTTAAATTTTTTTTTATTTAAATAAAGTCAAGAGTTAACCAATGTGATGGTAATATATTTCTACCCAACTTGAGAGAAGGGGCATTTGATAAATACTATATATACTTACAATTAATATATTTGAGGCTAGCAACATACATTACTAACATGTATTTTTTTTCTTTTACTAACACCACACCAATGAGTGAAAGGATCTATTGAGAAGTAGACATAGAAAATTAAAAGACGACATAGGGTAGAAGGACTAAGTACTGTGATAGCTTTCTTACCAAACATCCTTTAGATGCTGACATGAACATAATTTTACTAGTCAAGGCTCACTTGAAGTTTAAATATCGATGCATTCAACCTTAAAAATTAACAATAAACTAGTCTGACAAAGAAAGAAGTCATTTTTAGATGGAGATTCATTAGGGAATACTGCCATCACGACCTTTTCCTTTCATTTGACCAATAGGTCCTCGAATTAAGCGGTTTGGCCTCCACCTACATGAACTCTCTGTCAGGTGTCATCATTAATTAGATCTCTCTTCCTGTCGATGGAACCTCTTCCCGACCGAAGGTGGCCAAACACTCAACGGCCCTGCCGCAAAACAACCAGCGACCCTCGTCGCCGAGAAATGATAGCACCATTTCTCCTCAAGCAGTAGCATCCTCTTCCATAGCTACTACCTCAAAGGGCAAAAGGCCCATTT